GTACGTTCTGTTGCGCAATGCATATTCAACCCGTGTGAGCATGCTGGTTTTGACCACACATTACAAAAGTGAACCGAAGCAGTAAAACAAAAGTATGACATCAAAAATTCAAACGTTTGCTAATGACATACTGCACACAATTTCGAAAACTTTGTGTTAACTTTTACTTCAAAGAACAAATAGATACGTAACACGATTCCCATCCCTACATTACGCTTACAGCAATATCTTCCATTGTCTATAAAATGCTTACCGCCAAATGACAAGAGATTTTGGCTCACATAAGTTGGACGTCACTCACAAGCATTTCAAGCTGTCGCATTCCTATAAATCTTCTAGTCAACTTCTTTCGAAAAGAAGCACTAGACCCGAGTCTCGCTTTTGTTGCGGTAACTCGTCAGTGGTACAGCATATCACTGCCACAGCTGGAGTTAAAACTCCGGCCACGCTTTCATGAAGCAACCGTGTTGATCACCACACCACTGACCTCACATTGAGCATGACTAAATCATCATATGCAAATGTTCAATCAGGTCTGCTCACAAGTAATACCGAGTATGTAAAAGTCGCCTGGAGATATGGGTCACGGTAACTGTCTTGTTAACTCAAATGACTGTTCCTTCGACCAACATTTATCTTCAGAAAATTCATCAGACTTGCTCAGTGGTATTTTAACTAATAATGTGTAATAGGGGATTGTGATTTTATGTTAACTGAACATCACTCGCTAGTGATCACGACTGTCGCATTTCCATTGACTTTTCATTCGATCCCACCCAAAAATAAGCACTGGAGTCGAGTTTCTTACTTGTGTTGTGAGCCATAGGTTATTTATTAAAGAAAGCGACTCATAGGTCAAGCGCTTAAACAGGACAAGAAATAAAAACATTCATTCACATACGGTACATGGCCCAGACCGTCACGGTTGCTACAAACGCCAATGCTCAGTTCTTTTACATAGCAAGGACCATTTTGTGCGATGCTGCACTCCGATGTTTCATCCTGTATCTCTCCTGCGGCTATTTCGATATCAGAATACATGCTCTGGCTCCACTACTGAATAGCAGTTGTGTGAGTAGTATATTACGATTGCTCATTCTCGTTACACTTGTTACATCTCGTCACAGATTACCTGTCCCAACAAGTTCAGTCTAATCGTTACCCAGACGTACAATCAACGCGATAATCGGCACGAGTTCTGTCCAAGGGAGTCATTGGAATAGCAAGATGGGCAAACGTTCTTCGATTGAGTATATGCCCGCGCGGTGTTTGTTCATCAGTGGCATCTACCATGATATACTAAACATTTGATTACTCGTATACGTTAACAGTGCAAGCAATCGGTTACAAAAATTTGGCAACTCTAAAATAGGCACCCACTCCTCCAGGTGTTCATAATTAACGAGATAATCACTTCGTCTGCTGCACTATTGTAAACAGCAACCCAAAATGATTGATTTCTTCAACAAACTAAAATTAGTATCTAACTAGTAATCGTGATAGTCGACAGCCTGCAACTAGATTTCTATAGGCTGCTGGAGACGGAAACGATGAAATATTGAGAGGTTTACAAGTTTACTGAACACATGTTCAACCTAAGCTAGAGTGTAGGTGGGGAAAAACCGTACCGTTTTTTTTTATCTGTGTTAAGCCGATGGAATCCTTAAGAAAATGA